CCCCATAAACCATACACTTAAAATTTTTGTCATTACGAGAAACTTTGCACAAAATTATCCAATTTATTTCATAAATTGCCTTTTAAGGTCGTAATTCCATTCTAAAGGGAACTTTCCATATACCGGTACCTAATTATAAAAACTAGTGCACCTGTTGTTCGAATTCAAGCAATTGCAAAGTATTACAGGAGTTCAAAACCAATAACATATATTAATTCGATATTTCCGATTACTCAAAAGAGTCAACTCAAGGTTATGTAATCACTCACTCCACTCCAGTTATCGAAATTGGAAACGAACTCACTCTGAATACGAAAGCTCTTGTGTGTATCATGTGTTATAAACAGCTGTAATTAACACAAATAATTCGTCTGTTTAAGTAAACAAAATCTTTTCTTCATAAGAAATACATTGGTATTTTGATGCCCTGTGGGGCAAAGCCCTAGGACCACACAACAGGAAATGGACACACAGGAATTGGACAGGATTTGGATTGGGTATTGGATTTGTTTGGATTTGGTTTTTTTTTTTACAGGAATTGGTGAAAGGGGGCGTCTACACAAAAATACTTAATTTTGACACATCGTTAGTCAAAATCCGTCCATTATTAACGAAGGAGTAGTGTTTCGTTGCCGCGCGGTTGTTGAGGTAAGCAAGCGGCGGCGGCGAAGCTAGCTAGCGTTCTTTCCGGCTATCAGTTCGGATAAGCCTGGGTATCATGGAACTACAGGATAGCCTAGGAAGACATTCGAGTCGTGGATTTGGGGCAGTAAGCTTGTGTCTGGTGGAGAGTGGACATTAGTGTGTGGTGGTAACCATACAGTGTGGTGATACTTGTGAACAGTGCAGTTTGAACTGGGTAGAGCCTGGTAGACCCGCTAGCGGTGAGTACACGACGTTTCTTACATTTTGGTTTAAGAGTTGATATTTAATATTTTGATAATATTCATCTTACATTTTATTGGTCGAGTTGTAACCGTGCTGGTATAATCCTGATACAGTAGCTAGGATTTACAGGTGTCAGGAATAATACAGTACTATGCTTATATTCCTGACGGTTCTGGACAAGCTCTAAAGCGCAAATAATATATTTTATCGACTATAGTAGATATTATTTTGATTTGTGCCAAGAGCTAATTATATTACCTGTAACGCTGTGGCCCGACAAACCTAGGCTGCACGATTTGGCGAGCTTAGTTGGAAGTACGCGGCCAGTAGGCTAGTTGCTAATTTTATTAGCTTATTAACAGAAGCCCAGCTAACTAATATAACGTTGATAGTAGCAGCAGCAGTAGTAGTAGTAGGGTTTTTACCGGTAAATCATTTTATGATTTTAATTTGACCTTAACAGCTTGTTTGTTGATCCAATGATAGCTTGGATATTGCAGTACCGGCTATCAGATATATTTATTTATTTAGTGTTGTAATAGTAGTTTACGCAACGATTGCGTTAAGTGAGTCTCGCCAAGGCTCGTGCCTTAAAAACTTCTACGAGTGTCGTAAAGACTATTAACGTGAGTTGCGTACACTACTTTACCTACGACCGTTTTTTTAATAACTATCAATCTGGATTTAATTACTAACAATCACTACTGAAAGTGATGCAACGACTTGTTGTATAATCAGCTGATTTCCTGTAATTACGTGTTTGTTAAACTTCGTTAAATATTACATTGCTAGCAGCATTCTTACCATAAATAATATTGTATCAGGTACAATTCGGCAAATATTTCTTGTAAAAAACCGAACATGATAACAATTTTTGGTGAATCGGATAGTTAAATTTGGTTATTTATCCACAACTTTCCCGCTAACGAAATTTCTCTGACCAAAAAATAAAAAAAATTCCTCGCAATACAACTTTTTCATGTCTGAATCTGAAAAATTAAGCTACATAAGTGTTAAAAATATTTATAACTCAATTACTATCATAACTAATAATTTTATATTAACACCATCGTTTTCCTCAGTATCATATCTACAAGAGTGCAAAATTTCGGAATTGTTTGTCAACTATTAATGTTGTTTATGATCGTGTATTTGTCGCGGGGTTTTTAATGCGAACTGAGCTCGCGGGTTTGGATTCAGGCTGTATGACGGACCAAGATGGCGGATTTGGCCACACTTCAGTGCATTTGGTTAAACGCCGTGTCATCTCTACTATTATTATTATTATTATTATTATGTGCTCGCTGCTTTCGACCCATCAAAACCAGTTATTCTCACAACAGATGCTAGCCCAGCTGGAATTGCTGCAATGCTCAGTCATGATATCGATGGTCAAGAAAGACCAATTGCATATTCATCCAGAGCATTGACTCAGGCTGAAATCAATTACAGCCAACTTGATAGAGAAGCTCTAGCAATCATCTACGCAGTCACCCATTTTTATAATTACGTTGTTGGTAACAGATTCACTCTCTTCACCGATAATGAACCATTGTCACATATTTTTCATCCAGGACGTGCCCTGCCACGAATGACATCATCTCGCTTATTGCGTTATTCTTCATTCCTCAGTGGTCTTATGCAGTTCGATGCAAGAAAGGGAAAGACAATGAAAACGTGGATTGTTTGTCTCGAAGCCCAGTTCAATCATCAATTTTATCTGAACTAACATTCGACAAAGAAATAAACACAATCAATGCAGAATAAACCTTACTTCAAATCTCCAGCACAGTGATAACGGCAGAAACGATAAAAGAAGAAACAGCAAAAGACCCTGAGCTACAAGTTCTTTTGTATGAACTGAAAAATAGTTGCAAAGATAGCCCTTATATGATCTCAGACAACATACTATTCCGATCAGATCGAGTCGTAATTTCCAAATGTCTTCAACATCGAATTCTAAATGAGGTCCATGAATCACACCTCGGAATTACTCAAATGAAACAGCTTGCTAGAAAATGTGTACATTGGGAATGTATGGACAAAGACATAGAAAGACTAGTGAAAAGCTGTGAAGCTTGTGCTAAAGTTCGTCACAATCCACCAAAACCGCGGTACATCCGTGGGATCAGCCCGATGATAACTGGGAAAGAGTGTATATTGATTATGCTGGTCGATTGGATGGAAATTATTTCCTCATGTGTGTAGATGCTAAATCAAAGTGGACAGAAGTTCGCATTCTTCGAAATGCTCCTTCCTCAGCAACGACGATAGCACTACTTGAAGACATTTTCTCGATCCATGGGTACCCCTCGTTCTTGGTCTCGGACAATGCCACTACATTCAAAAGTGAGGAATTTATCAACTACTGTAGAGGGTGGGATTTTCCAAAAATGTACTGCCCCTAACCATCCTGCAACAAATGGCCTGGCGGAACGAAACATACAAACTTTAAAGAGAAGACTTATTGCTGCTGCCGATGATCCAACCCCAATTACTTCAAAGTTACAAAACATTAAGTTCAAATATCGAGCAACACATTTGGTATCAGGCACGACTCCAGCAGTGTTGTATTTGAACAGGAAGATTCAGATTAGACTTAACACACTTCTCCCTAACCCAAAGGCAAAACTTCCATCAAAATCAATTGCTCCTCTTCGCGTCCGCTCTCTTAAAGTGGGGGAGAGGGTTCAGGCAAGAGTTCACCTGGGAAATAAAGACATATGGCAATTTGGTACAGTCAAGAGAAAATTAGGTCAATACCATTACATTGTTGAATTGGATTCTGGACAAAGTTTAAAAAGACACATAAATCAATTGATATCGACTTTTGTATCTAAGAAGAAAGTTACCTTTATAACACACAACAAACAAAATAGTTCTGTTGTTCCAACCACCACCACAAGAGATCCACCCAGAGTCTGAATCAGATACAAATAATCCAACAGAACTAGACGGTACTCTAAGGGAAGAAAATCTAGACAGACTTCAAGTCACAGAACAAAAAGAAAATAAATTAACTCGTCCTTCCAGACAACGCAAAGTTCCGTCCTATCTTCAGGACTTTGCTCTCCACCGATTAAGTGGGGGAGAATGTTATGGACATATGAAGCTATAGTTGTTCCCATAGCAAGCTAAATGCAGTTTCTAAATTAGCTATTAGCTAAATTAGTTTCTATTGTTTCGTATAAATTGATAATTAGACCAATTTGTTAGCGAATTTCCTATTCAAGGGATAAGCTATTACCGCAACATTCTTTGATGTGGCCAAGCAAGTGCCAAATCCCCACAGGAAGCTAGACAGAACCTGGTAAAAATATTACCTCATGAAAAAAAAAATTAATTTGCACCCTCGATAATTTTTCAAATACTTTTGCAAATGCGGGTAAGATATAAAGATTAGGCGGTAATTCTCAAGATTCTTTTGCAACCATATTCTTAAAAACAGGTTTGACTCCGGCAAATGTTTATTGATAAGAAAAAAATACTACTTCGTAGGTATTGTTTTATTATTTGCAGTCAGATGCTGGGCAACAATTTTAAATGTTCATTTCGATATCTTCATTTGAATTTCATCCTAATCTTTAGTCAACTTTATTTTTTTGAGAAAGAAAATACTTTGCAAACTTTTTTACTTTTTAAACTATCATGTTTTACATTAGGATCATGGTGGAAGGAAAAAACATAGGTGTGCTATTCCCACATATTCTGACGTCACTCGGATTGCAAACAAAAGATCACCTGATTGTAACTGTCAAATTAGTATATTATGTATTTGTTTTGATTTGGTTGTTATTGTTTTTATTATTATAAAAACAATAACAACCAAATAAAAACAAATACATACTAATTTGACAGTTACAATCAGATGATCTTTTGTTTGCAATCCGAGTGACGTCAGAATATGTGGGAATAGCACACCTATGTTTTTTCCTTCCACCATGCATTAGGATAGTATCTACCTATTGGTAGTACGGAATCTAAAGTCAATACTTAAACTAAGTTGTTATGATCCATGGTTTCCCCCTTTTCAATTGTTTTGTAATTTGTCTCATTAGGCCTACCATATGATTTCTCAATAAATAAATATAAAAACACAACATTTCAATAACATCAAAACACAAATAACAGTCAAGGTACAAATTCGAAGTATAATTGTTCCACAAGATCTTAAATTATCAAGAAAGAGTTCAAAATTTAAGTTATTATAGCCATCTTGGAGTTTTATCTTCAACTGATAGGTACGTATTTTTTTAAGTTGACCCTATCCATGCATATATACTTTTTTACTCAATACAATAGTAGTTGAACGATAGTATGTTGCTATGATGACAGTAGTCTTCCAACATAAAAAAAAACTATTCAAATGCAAGCTAATCCATTTAACCCTAATCAAAATAACAACTATCAAAGTTACATACTCAACTGTGTTATAGTTATCATAGCAGTGAATGGTCTAGAAATGTCAAGCCCGCGTTATGATTACACAGGGTGCCTCGTAAGCCTAATGCATCTGCATCTTTGTAAGCTCAGTTCTTAAACTGTTTAAGTAGGCTGTGTTTAAAGGTCATTCTGTCTTTTAAATATTGATTATAACTAACAGTAGGCTAGTGGTAAAACTGGCCCAGTTTTTCAAAAAGAGGAAAATGTCAGGATGAAGAGAATTAAATGTGTTCTGAATTGGGATTTCAAGAGTTCGTGACTACTGTTTGCTTGTTCAATAGATACTTCCGTATAAGGAAATTTGCTGAAAACTAGGATGCAATCAGAATAAGACAGGCACTAAAGGCTTGCAACCATCCGCGTGCCACAAATGATAATCCTCCAAAACAACTCCTATTCTTTTATTAAAAATGGCATAGCCTCTTTATAACAAGAAAATAAGTATTTTTATCAATTTTCCCCGAGATGAAAGAGGACAAAAGTGTAGAGTCATGGTTATACTGTACCTACAACAAAATCAATAAGTTGAAATAATTTGGTGAAATGCATTGAATACTGATGTGTAACCAATGGGTAGCCGTTAGATGTATACGTAGCCACAAAGTAAATATTAAACTTCATAAAGGTTCTTCAAGAAGAACTGTTTATATTGGAATTAATACTAATTTGAAAAAAATAATTCATAAAGGTTGGTTGAAAAAATTAACATGTTTATGTGAAAGAAACTCAATTTTGTAATAGTTTTGTTCGTATCAAAACTTAAATAGGCCTATTTGATTTTTTTTTGCAGTGTGATTCAAAATTCAGATAATATTCACTTGACAAAATGGTAAGTTAACTTAAGTATCAAAATACTTACATGTAGATGAATAATACGGAGTGTTTCTTTTAACCCAACCCAAATCACAAGATTACTACAAGACACTTTTAACGACAAGACAAGTACATAATAAAAAGTGCTTGAAATATATTTATAGTCTATAATATACCATACCAATATTATTATGTAATATACCAATGTATTATAATGGTATCCCTGGTTTTCTTATTTCATTGCCGATCAGCTAGTATGCATTGTGGTATAGTTAGTTATCTATGAGGTTTGGTGATTTTAGGAATTATTGGGAATAAACCCCAATATGGTGTTTTCGCAAGGCCGGAAGAGTAGGTATTGTGAATTCCTTAACAGCGAAAAAGATTGATTTAGTGTCAAGAAAGGTTTGAAATTAAGTTTCCAGTTGTGCTCCTTGTTCAACTATTATTAAGTCAATTAACCAACTCTTTATTGGCTTGTAAAATAGTTACGAAAACTGTATCTAGAAAAACAAAATAATAAAAATAAAACGTTCACCTGAAACACGTACCAAACTCTAATTTTGAGCTTTTGAAAAGGCAACCAGGGATGCCAACATTAAATAAGCTTGTCTTGTCATGAAGCAGGGCCTCACACTGCTTCTAAATAGGGGTCCGTTTGAAAAAATCATCCCTAAATAATATAGTATCTAGTTATAAAAAAGATAACATTTTAATTATGTTACAAATTGATTGAAGACATTAATGAAAAAAATGCCATTCCTCATAAGGCCCGGGACATTTTGAAAGGGCTACATTTTGGGGAAGGCCACTATAAAGCTTTGGCTGAAATAAGAGAATTGCCGTCAAACGAGTTCTTAAAGAGAAAGTTAGCTTTTTAACTTTGTGTTTTCCGATTGAAATTCTCTCTGTAATATAGTGTATAGCCTAATATTGTATTCCATGTGTATTCCATATTTTGTGTAAAACACCTGTTTTAGTATGATTAATACTGAATTGTAGCAGGACAGATCTAGCGAGTGGGTAACTCCAGTAGAGGACACTTCAAACGTTGCCAAAGTAAGTGGACTCTTCACTATGTTCAATTTCAAATCATCCTCTTTTTTATTTTATTTACCGAGTCACATAGTAGTCCCCTAGCATCTCAAAATAGTAATACTTAAAATCAAAATCCATAAAATCTTCTAACCGTCGTAATGTTTTAAGATTCAGTAATCAGTAAGTATATTCAGACCAAAATTAGGTTTATGCTAGTGATTAGTTTTTTGAAATATTTTTTTAAGGAATCTATTTTCAGTGAAACTAGACTTAAAATATTATTTTTTCTCCTGTGCTCAAGGTTATCCATTTCTTGGATCTAAAATATGATGGGATCTCCTTAAAAACCTATTATACAAATGATTAAAGTACACACTTGGTGACACTTTAGAACTTGTTGCTCATGCTATATTACTTTCGAAATATGTACCTTAATAAAACCAGTAATACGGAAAAAAACTCAAAATTGTCTATTCGAATTCTTTATTTTAATATTAGCTGTTACAATTAGCCTAACTGTTGTAAAATAGATAGTTTGTGTGAAAAGTTACAGTTGTGCATTATTGCAAACCTGAGTACTCAGCCAATTACCAAACGATTTTGGACAAGATAAAAATCATAACAAAAACTATATATTTCATCTATAAAAATTTAGTTAAGCTGGTTTTGAATTAATAAAATCTAACCTTTTCATCTATTGTGTTCACAGCAAACAATGGCCATGGTCATTCAATCACAAAAGGTAAGGACACGTTATCAAACTACTGTACTTAACATAAGAAATGCAGTATGTATTGAATTTTACATTATTTAAATACCCCCGCCGCAGCAAACCTGCAGACTAAGCGAATTTCAACTTGTCTGATTTCATTTTTACTAAAATATTTCCATAAATAAGACATATTTATTCTCAATTTAAATAACATTAGATTTTACCAGTGCTTAGGTTTGCTGCTACGGGGAAGGTAAAAAGTGTTTTTTGACCATATGTCAATACTATAGAATGAAATAAATAAATTTGCCAAATTTTATCAACATACATCCATAAACAAGTAAACTACAACAGTTTTCATTTTCTCCATAAGAATAACATGGGAATTTTAAATTACCCTTTTTTTTAATTTTCTCCGTGACCGTTAGGCATAAAACAGCGCTTCAATATACTAAATTATTTCTTTTTTTAAGCTCTACAAAATGGTTGAGAAAGAAATTGCAAAAATTTTTATTTTTAGGGTTAAAAATGGGAAAAACCCATTTTTACCCCATAAAACCCCCCATAAACCCCTGTTCCCATCGTCCGATTATGCTGGTTCGCGAACTCGTTCGAATAAACGTAAGTTTACACGTTTGTACCAAATTTCATCAAAATCGGATCATATTTGCTCAAGTTATCGCGCTAACGGACACATATATAAATATATATATATATATATATATATAAATATATATATATATATATATATATAAATATATATATATATAAATATATATATATATAAATATATATATATATAAATATATATATATGTATATATATATATATATGAATTTGAACGGATGGTGTTTTTGGCCTCTGGGGACCTCAAAACGAAAAAGTAAATCGGTCCCGGGTCTAGGTCTTACCATGAGACCTACGGTAATAGCTTATTCCCTATATGGGAAATTCGCTAAAATGAATTGCTGTAGGCCTAAATATGAAATATATCAAAATGTGGTAAATATACTAGGCTATTTTATATAATCAAACTGTTGTTTTTTGCAAAAATAGGTTAAAAGAAAAATCTAAAAACTATTTGGTACACTGCAGATATCCAATCTAAAGTGAAAGCACTCTTGGGTAATTCTGAGCAATTACTTGGTCAACCCCTAACTTTTTTCATATTTTACTACGGTCAGAAGGATGTTTTCAGAAAACAAGAAACATATAATTCAAGCCCCGCAAGGTTAGGTTAAAACCTAACCTAACCTAACCTAACATAACGGTACTGTCACAACTGGCCTTCCACGGCAACCTGTACGATGGCCTTGCGGAGCTTAAATTGTATGTTTCTTGTTTTCTGAGAACATCCTCATGACAGAAGTAAAATATCAGAATTACCCACTTTTGACTCCAAGCTGTTCAGAACAGTCCTCAGGGGGGGGGGGGGGGTTGGTGGTAAAAGTTGGAAAAATGATACTTTTTTTGGTGTTTATTGAATATCTCAGAAACTACTCATGTTAGCACAAAACATGTTATACACACACAAATTCTAAACCAGAATAGTCTTCTCCATTATCTTATTAAAGTGAGCAAGAAATATTGTGTTCAGTATAGTAATGAGCATGTGCAATCTTATATACTTGAGATACATTGCTGCGGATGCACTGCTATGTTATATAAATATAGACATTTCAGATATAAAGATTCTACTGTAAATTTAACTATACTTTTTCAGTCCCGAGGTTGCCAAATGCCACTTAAGTCTGGTGTCTTATTGAAGAGAAGAATTGTAAGAGTTACTCTTCCTGGCGATGGAATGGGACCTTCCATTGAAGATGGGCATGGTCCATTCCTGGGCCTAAAAAAGGGCAATTTGCCTAATCCAGAACAAATTCAAGGAATAATCAGAGGTCTAAAACAAAAGATGCGGCTCATCCAGGAGGAAATACATGGTGGACCAGTTGGTCAACTTAGGCCTTTTGATTCAAATATCAACATGTTGAAGGCAAGTTTTAGGATTTATCAATATTGCTTAGCATGGTTATTAATCTGCTCTAATAAAATGTTGGTAAAATTTTTTGGAGTAAGTTTGTGGGTTCACCTAGTAGTTTTTAGTTTTGGTACGTTTACAAAAATTAATTATAATTGAGCAACATAATCTAAATTTTCTGTTACTAAAGTCCCAATAAAAAAAAAGATATTGAATTTGTTTAACTATATTATGATCAATGGTTTTCATATTCATTTTGAATTTGAGAAAAGTTTTTTATTTTTTATAAACATTAATTACAAACCAATTTGATATAGAAGAAAACTGGACAGTTTTATTTGTAACTATATGTCTTAAACACTCATTAATTCATAATAACTAGACATTAAAATATCTTAATCCATCAAATGTCGTAGTCGAAAGCCATTAAAATACCGTTATTGAGTGGAAGCCTCGGTTGTAGGCTATTGGAGCCGAATGTTTAAAAATATAAGTTTCTCAGTCCTAAACAACACTGATTCACAGCCTTTTCTCCGGTTGTCAAAACTTAAGTACAATTTGTTACACGCAGAATCTCCGGTTCCCGAACTGGATGATGCCTATCATTAACAGTTACACATTATTGTAGGCTTACTTGCGTTATAAATCAATTCCGTTATAAAAAGTCACAAAGTTATTAATTTAACTTGATATTTTGTTTATGGATTCGCTGACGAAACGTAATCGGAGATCGTTGCAGTGTTTTGTAAACAACAAAACAGCTGATCGTTATTTTATAGATGACGAAGTCTCTGAACAGATGATTAGTAAGTAAGAAGTAAACATTAAGAGAAAAGTTGAAAATTCACAAAATTGGGTTTTTGAACGTCTGTTATTTTATTTCCGAAGTAGTGAGTCCAAATTTGAATATCTAAAGACATTCTCGCCAATTCTGTGAATCTATATATTAATTTTAAACTGTTTTTCTTTGTCACAGCTATTTTGAGAGAATGGCTAGGCGTAGAAACTCGATAGAGGCGTCTAAAGAAAGGTCTTGGTCTGTAGATAAGCCATCAAAAGAGAAACATGGTGAATTCTATTGGGGCTCTGCCCCCGTGGCCTTTAAATTCCCATCTCATGTTATTCTTATGGAGGAAAATGTGGTTTTTGTCACAGCCATTTTGAGAGAACGGCTGGGCGTAGAAACTCGGTAGGGGTCTCTAAAGAAAGGTCTTGGTCTGTAAATGAGCCATCAAAAGAGGAAAGAGGTAAATTCCCTTGGGGCTCTGCCCCAGAAGCCTTTAAAGTTGCCTCTTCAGATTTGTTTACATTATGACCATATGCATAATTCTACACTACTTTTTAATGCAACAGCTGTTAATATTTAAATTGTGATTTATTGAATTTGTCTAAACTATTAAAATCATGATCGGTACATTACTATAATTTTCTCTGAGTAGGCTTGTAAATTAGAATTGTGGCGTTACAGACACAATGACAGACAGACAAACAGACTGACAGACATTGTTCCTGCTTTTGGGGGATATAATGACGAAACTTCATGATTCTACGCAATGTACAGGCAAACTGTAATTTATTAGACATAACTTTTCTGTTAATAACGAAACCTGTACGCTTACAAATTAGGTACACAATTATTGAGAATACATGTACAAAACTAGAAATATTCTAAAGACAGCCAATCTGTTTTCAGAACTCTAAATCCAAAGAGTGTGCCTCACATTATTCCTATTTTGTATTAAAAATATTACTCTGAAGTTAAAATTTGATTCTAAGTTTCTTCCCTTTCGTGAACTCGGATTAGGATTTCGAAAAAATATCAATTAACACATAATTCTTTTACAAAAATGTCCGGTTTTCGTAGAACAATAATTAACAAACGATTTTGTTTGTTTAAAGGCATTGGCACCAGGGCAAACTAAGATGTCTCAAAATCAAGTAAGTATCAAGTAATCAAGTAGGATGTCTCTTGTAAGTTTACAAAAAGTCTACGTAGCTAATAGATTTTTTAGAATTTATTATCTAAAACGCAACTAATAAATTGCTCCAACTTCTATGAATAGGAACTAGATTCTCTCCAAATTTATATTTTTGACAATTTTGCAAGCCAACATCCAAAACAATAGTTATTTGTGCAACTAGTGAGAAAAGTGAGCAATTGACTCACTCGAGAGAAATCCTTACTCACGAGCCGTAGGTGAGTGAGGAATGGTTTCTCGAGTGTGGCAATTGTACTTTGAACTCGAGTTGCACATTATACTTTTCCTACAGTTACCATAAAACAAATAAATTTGTGAAGAAACATAACCTATTTTTACACAGAAGTGAACTTTTAATATAACATTTAATGTGAAGTGACAAATACAACAGTACAACAGCTGACCAGCTGATTTACAGCCAGTGCTGCCAACGTATTTCGCGCGCATACGACGTTGCCTGCATGTTACGCGCTCACTATTTCGTGCCTTCACGTTGCAAATCTGGAGTGAGACAAAGTAATTAGAGTGAGACAATGTTAACAACGAAATGTTGTTTATTCTCGTAATGGACAATGTTAACATTGTCTCACTGATGAGCGAATTTGCCACTTTGCTTTCTCAAATCAGTGAGAGAACATGTACATTGTTAGGTAACTGTAGGAAAAAAGGAATAAAACAGTATCACTTGTTTCAGTTTGAAGCATATTCTTATAATAATTTATTCTATTTTAGTTAAAAACCATTGTTTTAAAGAAGGATTCTGTAACACCGCTTCTCTGCATTCTGTTTCAAGTCAAACCTAGCAGATTCATAAATACTAATTTGCTCTGCCCGTGCTTTACAACGGGATGAGAATGCGGAGGATAATAACGCGGTTCTTTAAATCTACTGTAAAAACTGTTGAAATACACCCTCATTGATTATGATTATAGGAAGCAAATCTCAGTTGTAAAGGTTGTACTATACTGTTTTTTTTTTTACCCAACCCGCCATGATAACTTCCATATCCCAATCATCGTCATGTAAACAACTTCTTTATTTCCCGAAATAAGTAAAGTTTCAAAAACTCACTCGGTGAAGTAATGAAACCCATTTA